TCTGGAGCAAAGGTAGAAGTATCCTTTAGTGCTCAGATCTTCTGAGAGCACAGCATCTTAGGAGCTTAGATAACTACCCTCAGCTTCCCAGAAAGCAACTAGTTTTCCATTGTGGTTTTCGATGGGTTTACCTGATGCTATGGGTGTGACATGTTTGAAAAAGTCAAAATGCAATAAGAATTTGTGAGCCAAACGCGTGTCTTTGTGATGCACCATCAGTATCAATTCCTGTTGAACCATCACCACAGCTAACCTTGCAGGAAAAAGCTTACATTTTATGTGTGCCCACTGCTGCTTTGTTGAGAAATCCCTCTCTCTAGGGATGAGTTTTCAGATCTAATTTTGGATTAAAATTTGTAGTTCAGTTTACTTCTCTCTGGTCCCAATACACTTCCCCTGAACAGTAACAATCACAATATATAAGTTGTTATGAATGTCATTCCTGAAGAAAGAAGGTAGGTAAAACGTGGGAAGTTTTTCCTCAGAGGGGAGGAAATGATCCTCCAAAAATGTTTATGCTTTACAAATGTTCTGTGATTACTTTCTTCGGTCATGACTTTTACAGCATGACACCGTGGAGGTAATATGTCATAAAACAGTGATAAAGTTTGATAAGCAATCCCTCTCGTCTGCATACACTCTGTATTTACTGATCCTAATTTGCCTACCGCTCTGGAATGCTAACTGTTGAAAAGCTGTTGCTCAAGTCCAATGCGTTGAACTGAGTAGGCAATCTGTCATTTCATTCAGTTGTGCCAAGATTTCAATCCATGCTTATACTGGGAATCTTGATAGACCCTTAGATAAATATTATTGATTAGTCATTGCTATTTTTTACTGTTGATATGCAGAAGGTTGTGCAGCCTTGCAGTTGGCTTCTACACAGTCCATTGGAAAATATGTTTTATTGTGCTGCCCATATTGGCAACTAGGCACATCTTTACTGCAGCCTCAGATTAAAGCTTTGTATTTTAGAAACAAACCACAACTGCAGCCAACTCCTTCCAACCTCAGATCAGTCGACTCTTCACCCTCGAGCCCCAAACCTGCTAAACTAGGGATACTGTTTTGATGCTGATTTCTGATTCAGTTGATATGCTAACCAGGCCTTGGCCGTGTGAAGTGGTTGTCCCAGCTGTGGGATCATAATGGTGTAGTCAGTCGAATTGCATATGAAAATTTTCGTAAGACTGAGTGATAAATTCCATGGCTCAGGGTATGGGGCTGTATTGCGTAGCCCTGGGGCAGGGCTGTGGAAGGTGGTAAGGGCATAGAGATTACACTGCTGCCACATGGTATAGCTGATGGGGTGATAAGTCCTCTGACAAAAGGTGCTATCAACTTCAGGAGCCCCCAGCAGTGTTTCATCTCACAACTGGGGCTTCGGTTTGTCCAATAAAAAGGTTCACGTCAGCACAGGCCTTAGGTCACAGCTCTGACTGGGGACTCACAAACCGCACAGAGCGCAAGGACCTCACGTGTGTCAGGAATAACCTTATGCCCTGCTGTGTAAAACTCCATGCATAGCTTCACAACCTGTTCTTCTGTAAGCTCAAATCTGTTGGGTCGGTACTCTTGAAGTTTAGCACGTTTTGGTTGTCTTCATGGGTTTGTGTGTGAGAGTTTTCACACACCACCTTGAATTTCTGGTCTACAATGACAGAACAAGAGGTCTCCTTCCCATAGCTTTGCCCATCTGCCAAAGGAAGTACTTGCTGTTCAGGGGAAAGGGTGCATTACCGGTATAAAATGTGTCACCTGCTCCCCCCTCTACATTAAACATGTCCAAACAAACATCCATGATTTGCACAGATTTAAGCCAGGAAGGAATTAAAGCTCCTGTTCTTGCCAAATGATTGAGTTGCTTGCAGACACAGATTCTTAAGGAAGTATAATGGAGAAAGTAAAGTACATTAGCAGAGTATTTGTGCTTTCATAGGAAATGAATATGGATGTAATTAAGAAAAGCTGATTTATGTGGAACTGTAAAACCAAGGACATAGAATGAAAAATTCCCTGTAAATATCAATTCAGTGTTTTGTGGTGGCCCAAACAAGGCAAGCCAAGTATTGCAACGGGATTAAGGAAGGAACTGAAACCTAAAATGCGACCGTGTAAATCCCTAGGACATGAATATTTGAGGCATTGTATGGAGTTCTGGGCACCTGGTCCCTAAGGATAGAACCGTAACGTGCTACTGACATTTTGAGAATAGCAAGGTGCAGGGTGCCTTCTGTCTGAGGAACTTTAAAAAAAAAACAGGGCTGAATACGATGAGGGGATAAGCAGGGTCTATAAAATAATACACAGGAAAAGGGAAATGGGAAACAATAGGGAACATCCGATGAATTTATTAGGTGATAGGTTTGAAATGAGAGGACTTCACAAAATACATGTGTAAATTGCTGAACTCCCTGCCACAGGGTGCTGTAGAAGCTAGGACTATAAATTGATTCAAAAAGCAATTAAATCCTTAGACAGCCCCAGAAGCCATTAAAAGGTCCAGGCCCTCTCGCTCTCTGGCTTCAGAAGACCCCGTACGGCTGACTGCTGGTGTGGTTGGGCAAAGATCACAGCAGCTGTTTCTCACCTGCTTTCATTCTGCAGCCGTTGTTGAGCACTAAGAGACAGCACAGCCCTTCTTGTACAACTTCCTTCTTACATTATAGGCCATCGTTCCCCTACAATACATATTATTTCTTTTTTAACTAAGAATTTATATAGGTGGTTTATAAGTTGTTTAAAAGAAGCTGAGAACAAATTCAAGTAACTCAAAGGGTTTATATTAACAGAAACTCAAAACCATCAGAAGTAGCACTAAATGAATGCTATTTCACCCCGTCTTGTTTAAAAGATACTAGCTTTATTAAAGGCGGCTTTGTATTAGAACTCTGGCCACTGGCTACGGTTTTACAATATTTATTCTCCGTGAACTTTCACAGCAGTGCATACAGGAGAAAAGGTCAGAGTTAAAGTGCAGCTTTGGAGCTTGTTTCTGTAAAGTTTTCCTATGTACAGAACACTTCAAGTACTGGTGAGGCTCTGACACGCCCAAGCACAGGGAATACTTTAGAATCAGATGGTTTTAGTCACCTCAGGGAAGAAACTATTTGGAAAGACAGTACTGGTCTGAGATGGGAGAAAAGATGAAGGGAAAGGCTAGTTAGAGCAAGTCTGGGCAAAGATTCTGTGTTTGTTTTACTCAGCATCAGCACAATACTAATTTACGAATCTCTCCTCTGCAAGTGCGTGGAGGGACAAACACACAAACAGCAGCTACTTCTGAAGTTGAGGCTTTTAAAACTTGCAGTAAGGGAACTTTTGAAAGCGCATTCAGTATTTAGTGAGTTACCTGTAGCCCACTCCCCTTTCTGAGGAAAAATACAGTCTTTGGCTAGGGGAAAAAAAAAGTTATTTTTCATGATATATACAGTAAAATATGCATACGTATCCATTGCCTGCTAACTCAAGGAAAGTTTGCAGAGCTACTCTGCAGCCAGCAGTGGCATTAATTCTGCTTCTGTGCACTGGATCCACGTTTTCATTAGGTCCTTTTAATAGCATTTTCTATGAGTAGCTTGGTGCAGGCGATTAAATCAGTTTCACTACCGTGACCTTTTCTTGTCTCAGGAAGTACTGCAGAATGCATCTTTCTGCTTGTGTACTGATGACATGAAACACTTGCTTTAGTTTCTTTAAAGCATTTTTCTTTATGATAACCTAAATTCCGTTGTATTTAAGCATAATAAGGAATATTATCTATTTATCTAGAAACTGAATATAGCCCCGTCATGCTTCAAACTTGCATGTACTGAAGCACACAAAATAACACTGCATATAATGATCCTAATTTATATTTAAAAGCAACTTACTTCAAATGCCATCTCATAAGTAGATGACTTCGCAAAGAAGGGAATTTACCAGGTAGTTTTCGTTAAAAAAAAAAAAAAAAGGCATATATATTCTAATTCCCAGCAGCTAGATCACAAGTAACTAATATTACTTTAGTTACACAGAAGTCTGAGAAATATAATAAAATAAATCTTGCTGAGGCTCAATATGTATTCTAGGAAACGGTTTCCACTTGTATGAAAATGCAAAGCAACATCTAAAAACTATATGGTAATTAAAAATTTTATACCTATTTCAAACTTAAAATGTTTATTTTAGCCATGGATGCTCCAAATGAAACATAGATAGATGAAACCTATTCACATGAGAGTTCCATGGTCCTTCAGGCCCAGAGATTTCTGTATATATTATTAGATCAGATTAGCCTGCACCAAATTAAATTATAGAGAGATGAACATAATTTGCTGGGAAAGTACAGGCAAATGTCACAAAATGTACAGTTAAGTCACTGTAATTCAGTTACAGGTAGATTCAAAACCTACAGCTACCTTTTTATTATTTTAAAGCATTTATTATTTCAAAACATCTGCTGTGAGTACTCAGAAAAGGGGAAAAATAGCAGAATCTGAATAACTTCACTAAAAAACAAAAGGAGTATCTTTAATTAAAACAATCCACTAGAAAATTAAGTTTGGATTTTGAAGTTTTTATGTTGTTGAGTGGGATAATTTTTTTAAAAATAACTATCTGAAATGTGAATTTATTATGTACAGACTTTTAACATTTTTTAATATTAACAACTGCATTTAGTGTATTAGAGGAATTCAAACAAAATACAAGCAAAATAAGTACAATCATTAAAGTATTTGTTGTTTCTCCTCTCCCACCATTTTCTGAGATGCATATTTTAACAGAACCACCCTTCCCTCCTCCCATCCCCCAAAAAATGCGAGGATATATTTTTCTTGTATACAAAGCCATTATCAGAACAATTTCATCTTCCTGCTTGCTCCTTTTAAAAAAAAAAAAAAAACCTCCCTCAAAATGCATATTTGTTTGCAACTTCTTCAGCATTTCTGAGTTCTGACTAGGTCAAATAGTAAGACAGAAAAAAACAAACCAAAACAAACAAACAAACCAACAGCCAAGAGTATTATACTGTTTGTATTTTTTTCCAATCAGGATCTGGAGCAAGTATAGATATTACATTGCAAAATGTTACTTGATGTAAGAAAAATCTCTCGTATGTCTTCAGTGAGGTTTTCTATTCAATTGTGTTCTCTATCACTCTAAAGTTGTGTGAGATGTTATCCTCCTGTTTTAGATTCTAAAAATGCTTACTTTTTAAAGAAAGTAGGAAAAAAGAATCATCTATTTCTGGACATGCATACGCAATACAAAACTATCCCAGTGATTCTCTTTCTTATCCCAAGAATATTCTCTGTTTCTGGCCTAGCGGCAAATTACAAAGAACAAAGCTGAAAGAACAAACACTGTACTCATCTGTACTTCCTCTTAAACTACATAAGTTATTATCAGTTCTGTAGAAACACCTTTGTTTTATATCTGCTGTAACACAGATGTACATCTGCATCGAAGAAATAAAGGGAACTAACTCGTATATATTTAAAATACTATCTGCAAAACACAGAATAAAGAAAAAATAATATTTTTAAGGTACTTGCTCATCTTTATTTCAAAATCATCTTCTGCTGAATAATGATTCATTTCTAAATGCATAATACAATTTAGCTTTGTGTTCTTTATTAGACTTCATTATTTTTTTTTTAAAAAGGCATAGGGTATTAGTCTTTACTTTGACTTGTTTAACAGTGCAGTTCATTTATCATAGAGGGTCTTCTGGTCACCAGGCAAATTATCAAGCTTCTGCTATTACATGCTAAAAGCCACACAGAGGTCAGAAAATGTTTTTATCCTAAATTAATTTTTTGAAAGTCTCATGTTGTAGCAAACAAGGTCAAGAGTCCCTTTAAGAAGGAGACTATTTCATTGCCTCCCAGTTTAGATTCTCCATAGACTCGGTCCACAAATGAAATAGGAACCTGTTGAAACAAGGAAAACTATTTTTAAGGTTCAAAACCTAAATAACCAGAAATTATGTTAAAAAAAAAAAAAGAGAGAGAAAGAGAAAGGCAAAACACGGACATCAAACTACAGCACTTTTCTGTGGTGGAGTTCAGAAAGCCTTAGGCTGGCTTCCTTCATCTCAGTTCTTCTTACCAATGACTTTAGTGATGGCCCATAGCTGGATAGCATGAAAATATTTGGTTTATCACTTTTAAAGATGATCCAAAGACATTACTGAGCAGTTGGATGATACAGCTGTTAGAACAACCTTAAAAGCCTAAGTACACTAACAGTCCAGGGGCTCAACATGAACCATCATCACTTTCCCTGTTAGCTAAATAAAGTAACTTTAAGAAAATGCCTCTGGAAAGCAACCATCTCCTGCCACTGTGAAACAGCATTCTGCTCAACCTCATTACTGGCTAGAAGATGACATCTGAGTATGGCAGTTAGTGAATATTTTTACAAGCAATACCTACCTTTGTCAGTCTTTGACCATTTTACGGGTTATTTAGAGGATAGAAAGTCATTTAAAAGTTATTTTGTTTCCCTTACCTAGGTGATCATACCCTCCAGATTAACTCACCACTCACTAAGTGTGAGGAACACACTCCTTTTCAGTAATTTGACCACGTACAATGACATATGACAGGTCATTTTGCCAATACTGTAACAGAATATTCAAGAATTTCCATATATACTTGTGTGTGAAATCAAGATACTTCAGCTAAAATAAAGAACTGCATTTGCAAAAGTCGTTAAAAAATTGGCTTAGTGTTTGCTAGCAGTTTCAACCAGAAATGATCTGGCAAGTGGAACACAGAAATTACCACACCCTTGCAGCTGTGCCAGGACTGAGGATTTCTCAAAATTCTAAGCACATCAGTCCATGGTAGAAGGGAAACCAGGGAAAGAAGACCTAACAAGGCACACAGATAGACTTAATGATTTTAGCTTTCTTAGTAAGGTTCCTTTTGGTAATCCCAGTAAGCATCATGGCACCTGGGGACAGCTGATCAACGGGGCAGGACCAGAAATCACTGAAGACACAGTCAGCTCAGGATGTCAGATGTGGTATTTCGTGACCAGTGATGGAAGAACCATTTATATCTAATCTACCAAGAAGTATCCAGTCTTCCCCTTCAGTATAGGGATTAACCACCCTGTGTTGTTGCTGGACTTGGCCGTTCTTGCACGGAAAGCTCTGTTGTTAGTCTCAAAGGAGTCATTTCCAGAAGGGCATGTTCCATGGGCCATGGTACATTTCACTTATGGCACAGAAACACAGCAAAATGAAAACAGGTGCGTGGAGCTTGTGTCAGTTATCTTACCATGACCCCTTTGTTTCTTTTAGACTGGAAGGTCTCAGAAATCTTCATTTTTAACTTTGCATAAGAAATGTTTAACCCTCATAATTCTGCAGATTTTACAACTGCATGAAAAAATTTTGTAACCTGTGGCTACAAAAGCAGCATCTGCAAGCCAGGAATTAGACATGTAAATGTCAACTCTTCTGAAATGTCAGTATCATTATTTGGATAATTATAGACCATCTAGGAATCGTAACTATTGGTCAGGGAATATTGTATCAATGGACTTAATGGAAAATTATCCTGCCCCAGGAAGTTACAATATAGAGATGATAAACAGAACAGTTTTTTAAAAACCCCAAAGCAATAAAATAATCTTATATATAGGTCTATGTTAGCAATCTGAACACTGTCAAGTTTGTTGCAGATATTGCAAAGGATATCTTTAAAGATATCTTTAAAGCAGTGCTGAAGCAGAAAAATGAAGCAGCTCTTCAGATGTTAGAAATCTTCCCACATGGGAGAAACCAAAGGAGGAAGGAAGATTGGGAATGTTACATATGAATTGTGGAGGACAGCATAACTGACCAGTGACAGAGCCCATGTCACAAACCTGACTGGTGCAGCAATCTGCACCTACATTTAAATGAAAGCATAATACACTTATCAGGACTTTTACTATACCTCTCCAATAGTATATCCTAGCTGTCTGGCCCGAACAATCATTTCCATCTGGAAGACATATCCTTTAGAAACGCATTTTTCCATTAGTTTCTGTAACACTTCTTTTCTGTATAACCTGTAAATGATTACAGAGAAAATGAAACACGAAACAGTTGTTGAACTTCAGAAATCAACGTACCATGTGTAGGAATCTTAACTGTGATCACTCATTCGTATCATCACTGTTTAAAAAAATCATTAACAAAGTGATAGGAGCAACAGGTCTTGCAGTCTGGTCTGCTGTTTCTTACACCCTTCTCAAACAGACGTCACAGTCCTCTGTAAAGGTCTGTTCTTAATCCAGTTCCTTGTTTAGCAGTTTCTTAATTTCAAATAGACTTTATGACTTGCATACCAGGCCCGTACCTGAAACTTCCTGTTAAGTCTGATGCACCCGGTCTCAGCAAAACCTGAGTTATAAAATTGGCTCCACGACTGCAAAGAAAACACAGATGTCAAAATTACCCAGTACATAATTCAGAAAAATCAAGCATGGTTTCTAGAAAATAAGTAAATATCAAAAAAGAAACTTTTAATTGCTTAGGAGGAAACAATTGTATTCCTAATATATTTTCACTGTTAGATTTGATTCCTAAATGTTTGTTTTAAGTCAAATCCCATCTTCAGTAAAGAACTTCTTTACTGAAAGGGTTGTTAGGCACTGGAACAGGCTGCCCAGGGAGGTGGTGGAGTCACCATCCCTGGAAGTCTTCAAAAGACATTTAGATGTAGAGCTTAGGGATATGGTTTAGTGGAGACTGTTAGTGTTAGGTTAGAGGTTGGACTCGATGATCTTGAGGTCTCTTCCAACCTAGAAATTCTGTGATTCTGTGATTTTGTTTTTCAAATGCAAATTATTAACAGATTATTGAACTTTATGACAGAAAAAAAAAATCAGAAATTAGTTTTACAATCTGTTTATAGTAGAATTGTCAGTACAACCACACACTGTGTTGCAGTACAAAAGAAATAAATTTGACAACAGACAAAATAATGTTTTTCCTGTAACATTTACTAACAGAGAAGAATAAAATTGCTTCCTGGATGAATGTTAGACTTGGATTTAGAAAAGCAAGATTCAGTTTTGGTTTACTCTACTTTCTTAGTATAATAAGGAAAAGCTCCACAGATGAAAAATGTTGCAAGACTGAAAAGTCATTCATGACTACGTTGCTCAGGGCTGTATTACATACAGATGGGATGTCCAACTCCTTCACATTGTAGTGTTTGATACAAAAGGATTTCTCTGTAACACCCATTACTCTTTTTCTTTCTTTGTTCTTTTCTTTTTTTTTTTCTTCCCTTCAGGGATGGGTGTAAATACACTGTACAAATTCCTCCCATTCACAAAAAAAATAAGCACTTATTCTAGCCATTAAAAAAAGGGAGAAATCCAAATACCATCCCTGTGATACCATCTCCTAATCAGACTGTTAACACTTCACCTCCAAATTCTTTACAGTAAAAAAAAAAAAACAAAAAACCAACAGCAGCAAGTTATGCCTATTCTCTTAAAACACTTAGAAAAGATGGTATGCAGAAGAAACTTGTTGATTAACTGCTCAAAATCTGTGAGCCCCTATAAGCGTGAGATGCTCCGTGTACTCATATGACCTTGATACAGTTTTCCTCTGCTTTGGGGGTGAAACTTTTCCTTGGTGCTCACTGTAACCCTTTTCCAATAAGGTCTAAGTAATAATTTATTGACATTGATCATGCCAGATAATCCTTAACTTCTAGCAAAGTGTGTCAAAAGAGTGTCAACAGAGGGGTTTAGCAAGTCATTTACTGTTGAGGGAAAGGACCTTTGCAGCTCTTAAAGCTAACTAAACACATCATTCAAACTTGAGAAAAGCGTCAGTCTCAGCTTATTCTTTGGATGATAAACCTGAAAAAGCCTCCCAAATTGACGCTGTGCAGATTTGTACATTTTTACATTGTACCAACCAATTTCTCAAACCTAGTTGTATCATTAAGTTCTTTGTTATTTTTAATTGAAGAATCTACAGATTGTGCATACTCCTATTACTTAACATAATTTCGCAGTACCCAGTACAATTAACTAAAGACTCAATTCAGTTCACGTTGATTTATTGGAGTTCTGTGCTTGGAATTTTTATTAATTTCTAAACAACACGTTTATGTGTAAGTATCTAAAAACTACTAACCTGATTAACTTTCTTTTCAAATCCCAGCCATGTACTCCTCCGTTTCCTTTATATCTTGTCCCAGACACAATATCAAAATTGCCTTCTTTCTGCTTTCTATAAGCAATTGATTTCATCAGAACAAACCAGGAACAGTATTTGCATAAAGTCAGTATATAGATCAAAATAAGAATGATCACTCTTAATACAAATTCTATATTTTACAAACCTTTAAACAAGCAAGTACAGAAGATAGGAAAACGATAGTAAGGGTGGTTATGGTGCATTATACATTTAAAAAATGCTTAATTGCTCTCTTATAAAGAACAATCTCAGAGTATCTTATTTTCAAAGCAAGTCTCTCTAGTATAAAAGTAAAGGTAAGACCAAATGCTGATTTAAACATTTATATTACACAGACACATAATAAGGGAAAAAAAAAAAAAAGAGGTCTGGGACTATCCATATCATGCCTAAACTGATGCAGGAACGTATCTAAAAGTTGTAAGCCTCTGGCACTACTTAGGAAGAAAGTTGAAAATTATTGAACTACCCTTAGACTCCACTGGAACGCCTGTTTACTGCTTCTCACAAATTGAAATATTACAGAGAGGGGAAGATAAGAGGTAGGCAGGCAGGAGAGAAGTACTTCACAATTAAGTGAGGAATGGGTCCTCCTATCAGCATCCCTACAAACACGTGAGATCGTTAGAAAAATAAAAAATAAAAAAGATTATCTTCTAATCCTAATGATCTTGTGTATGCGTGTATATATATATGTATATATATATATACACACACACATACACACAGCTTTTCAAAAAGAACGAGAAGTACTTAGCCACACATGTTCTCTGTCAGTTTAAACTTGGGGATCTTTGCTCCAATTTGAAGCTAATTATTTTTTCTGTTCTATTTTGGAACAAATTAACTAGGTCCAATCACTTTTATTTGAATTCTTGCCTTTACAGTTTTCTCACTAGTTAGACTGCTATAAAATAACCTAAAGCTTTCCAGTTTTACTACAAAACAGTAACGGTTTAGAAGTCATTCACTTATACAAGAACTATTACCTACCTGATAAACTCTGGAATAAATTTTGGCTGAAATAGAAAGAAAACAGATGAGATGAGATAAAAGAAAGGTATGAACAATGAATATGTAATTACAACAGATTAAAAACAGTACATAATACAACTTACATGGTGAGACAGGTCAGCATCCATAATAACAATAAAATCCCCAGTGGCGTACTTCATTCCATGAATGTAAGCAGTGCCTGATTAAAACAATACAGAAGTAATTTCCCTCAGTATTTTAACATATGCAATCTTCTAGTCAGTCTTCACTTAATTTTCTAAACTCTTTAAGTTCTACCAGAAAAGGATTAATTAAATACTCCTATTTTTTTTTTTTAATGATGTATCAGAGGTCAAACACTAAAACCGTTTCCCCTTTCCCTATACTTTCAGTACTAGATTTTAGAAATACAAGTCTTGTCAAACCCTACTGCACTACAAATGCATACAGAAACGACTTGATAAATGGGTCACTATTTGAAATAACATTCAGAAGCACCACTGGCACTTAAGTGCTATAAAAAAATGGAAATAGGATATGAAATCACAGGGTTTAAGAAAAAAAACTGTTCTATACTCAGGATTTCCTATTAATAGCATATACATTTTGATTTATTCTCGTGACACCATGAATTATATTCCTGAAAAGATTTTTTTTCCCCTTCCTTACAGATTTTGTGGTTTATTCATCCTGTATGAACTGATGCAGCTCTCTGATATGAGCAAGTTTTGCTATTAGAACTTTCCTCAATAATGCCAATTTTTGATCTGAGTCGGATCACTCAAAGATAGCACTGCTTCCAAGAACAGTGCGGCAGCCTAACAGAGATTAAAACCTGTTCATTAATCCAAATTATTTTTTTAACTTCATAAGGAATAGCTAAAACTGAAACCAAAACACTCTTAACTGACATCCTTAGCAGGCAGTGTCACAGGTCCTGGTTAATGAACAACCTGTCTTTCTTTTCTTTCCCGTGTCATTTCCAAAGTTACACAGTAGAAGTGTTGCAGGTTCATGTGTTGTGTAGGATTGGTTAACACGGTACATGAAGATGTAAATCAATCAGCTTATGCTGTAATACCAGTCAAATTAGGACAAAGGCTCAAAAAGCAGAAAACAGAAAAATTAAGATTTATACGCTTCTTAGAGTTTCTTAGATGTAGAAAAAAGTATAAAGGTGAATTTAGACAATTCAGTTTTTAGAAAAGGAGAACTTTGGTTTTGTCAGTGGAATGGAGAAAGTTGTTAGCCGCAGTACTTGGTACATAAGACACCTGAAATGTTTTACCAAATGGTTGCCAAGATGTGTAGAAAGACAGATACTGATATCCAATAAACCAGAAACATACTGCATTTTATTATTTTTTCCATTCCTATTGTAAAAGAGGAGAGGAAAAGGGATCTGAGACATGAATCTTTACACAATGAATCATCTCAACTTTATTTTAGGACAGCTTTGATACTGCCAGTTTTAATGACATTTACGACCTCCTAAGGGTGCTTTTTCTGAAGCAAAGGAAGACAGGCTTGACTTAGACTTTCTGTGAAATACAAAATCAGATCTACAAAATTGCAGTCTTGTGTCATTCCATGAAAACTTTAATGATTTAGCTCAATGGCACAAGACTGGCTCCCAAATCTGTGAGGGCTTCTGGAACACAACGAGTAACTTCTGTAATGCACTTCAAAGGCTTCAGTTCATGTGTTAGTTAATAGGTGAGACAATACTTAGTAGTTTGAGTGCTAGACATGTCAGATATGCATTTTTTTTATTTATAGTCATAATTAAAGCTAATTGAACAGTTATGCTGACATGAGCTGACAGCGAAGAGTTCTGTGAAAAGATGTGACCGAGGAGTGTCCCAGGCTTGGAGCCTGCACAAGCCATGGCCCACTTTTTGAAGCATCCTATACACAGGTAGATGCCACAGAAAGCGCCACTGTCTGCTCTGAATCAGTAGGCTCCATTCAGAAAGGGCAGCTACTCTTTGAACAGGTACTTCTTGTCTCAATCCCCGTCCCTTATTCTGTGATCAGCAAACGCTGTGTGGGAGGAGAAGAGGCGCATGCTAACAGGAAAGTACAGCTGTACGGCACAGCAGTCACCGCAGGCATCAGGTTTGAGGTTGTGGTTAACTTGCTGTAATACACTGTGATTTTTACGTGCATGCTTTTAAACTTTGTTCACTTATACAAGCTTGGTGAAAACATATTTGCAGATTTGGGCTTTACTTTGATTCTTCTGCAACTTTATGCACCAGAATCAAACAAAGAATATAACTTTTTTTTTTTTTTTAAACAACAAACCAGACTTGATAAGGACTTACCAAGGCCCAACTTCTTTTCTCTGGGTCTTAAAAGCTGTAGGATATATTAAAATACATATAAATTAATTGAGGAACAGTTCTAAATTACTTTTAGTGACATCTTTAAATTCCGTACTTTCAATATAAGAACTGAAAATTCCTTTTCACTATACACACAAAAAAAATTAATCTGACAAAATGTAAGAGAAACAAGCCATTATTTTAAGCAGGTATTTGATCAGGTCACATTTAAAAACAAACTCCTTATAAGCTTTACTTGTATTTTTTCAGTAAAAAAATAAATATTAAAAGTTCCATCTCTGTAATTAAAGAATTTCCTCAAATTCCACTATCAAATACATGCATATGAATTCAAACAAAGGTCTCCCCGGTATCATTAATTTAGGGAATGGAAGACACTCACTCAATATTTTAGCAAGTTCCCCAGCATGATTTAATATACTTTTAGTACTGAATATAAATTTCAAGATTTTCATGTGCATACAAGGTATAACCCATGGATACCAACTTTTAGAACTTGGCTAATTTTGTTACCTTATCTGAGAGGTTGTAACTAATGTGAGTTGAAGAACAACAAGGGTATTGAGAACAATCATTAGTCCTTCTAGTAATTCATTATTTTGACTTTTGCTTCCACCATGATTGTTTTCTCTTTAATAGTCAAAGTTGAATAATAGTTCTTTAATAGTCAAAGTTTACAAAAAAAAAAAATAAATCACTTCAACACCTCATCTACTCCCTAAAACGTGCTGTCCTCTCGGGTTATCTACATACCACATTCAGTAAGCGTAACTTACTAAGCCAGGAGCCCCATGAAATTATTTGCATGAAACGCCCTGAGGACAAATCAGAACACTGACTTTGCTTGGGGAAAAAACAAACAAACAAAAAACCCAACAACAAATACTTTTAAAAACTTTACAATTACACAGTAATAGATTGGAAAAGAGCCTGACACTGCTTACAGCACAAAACTGTCAAACTCAGCTTGGAGTTTTTCCACTCTTCTGTGATAAAGCTTTTATCCTCCCCAAAAACTGGCTTTAATGACTCACAAGGAGTAAGTAAATGGCAGTATCTTGTTATATACAACTGCTGGCTCTACAGTAACACAATAGAAAAAAATTACTCGTTATTGAGAAATGCAACCAGACATTACAAATAAATCCCACAACCAAGTAGCTGCCCAGGTTTTTTTTAATTTTCCAATTCCTGCAGCCACAGAAAATGAAATGCAGCTGTATCCAAACCTCACCTTTCCCTCAGGCGTGCACAAAGTACCAACCAAACACATTATTCAGGAGCACACAGCAATGCACAAAGCGTTGAGAACCTCTGTAAGCATTAATTTATGATTCTGTGTAAGAGTTCATAATGCTGGTAAGCGACTGTTGCAATTTTATGTTTGCTTAAGCGGTGTGCAAAACTTAAGTAACTTGTTTTTAAAACAAGTAACTTTATATCCTTGTTTAAGGAGGCAAGGAAAGTCAGTGCAGGATCCAGGGACTCTGTTCGAGTTCTTTAAAAATTTCAAGTGCTTTCCAATACAAAACGACCCCCAAACAAAGCGTGCAACTCACAATTTTATCTGACCCATAGATCTTCTCCAGTTGTTCCGCAACTTCCTGCGTCCCGTCCGGGCTTCCATCGTCGATGATGATAATTTCAAAGTCGATTCCACTGAAACGAGACCTATTTTAGGGCAGTGCCCGGTTTCGCTGCCCGCCCCGCACGGCCCCAGCGCGGAGCCGGGGGCGATTTCCCCACAGGGGCTCCCCCTGGGGCGCTCAGCGCTGCCCCTCGAGCCGAGACACCTGGCTCCACGACACCCCCAGCACCCCGTACCTGTCCTGGAAGGTGCGCACGAGCAGCCAGACGACGAGCGGCAGGTTGTGGCGCTCCTCGTATGTGGGCAGCAGCACCGACACCTTCCCGGCCCCCCCCGCCGCCATGGCGCGGCGCTGCCCGCAGCCGGCCCCTCAGCGCCGCCCGGCCGGAAGCGCCCGGCCGGAAGCGGAAGCGGGCTCCCCGCCGCCATTTTGCCCAGCATGGCGGGCGGAGCGGAGGCGGTGCGGCTGGGCGCCGAGATCGAGCGGCGGGAGCGGGAGCTGCGGGGTCTGAGGGAGCGGCTGGCTGAAGTGCTGGCGGGGGAGAGCGGTGCGGATACCGAGGAGGGGTCAGCTGGAGTCAGCGCCGCCGCTTTCCCCGCCGAGCTCGCTCCCTTGCCCGCGCAGGCCTCGCTGAGCGCCGCCGCCATCCTGCGGTACAGCCGGCAGCTGGTGCTGCCCGAGCTGGGCGTGCGGGGGCAGCTGCGCCTCGCCCGCTGCTCCGTAGCTCGTGGTGGGCTGCGGAGGGCTGGGTTGCCCCCTCGCGCAGTACCTGGCCGCGGCCGGCATCGGCCGCCTGGGGCTGGTGGATCACGACGTGGTGGAGACCAGCAACCTGCACCGGCAGGTGCTGCACGGGGAGGCCCGCCGGGGGATCCCCAAAGCCGTGTCTGCCGCGGCGACCCTGAGGCTGCTGAATTCCACGGTACATTACGTGCCCTACTGCGGCGCCCTGAGCCCGAGCACCGCCCTGGAGCTGGTGCGGCAGTACGACGTGGTGGCCGACTGCTCTGACAACGTCCCCACCAGGTACCTGGTGAACGACGCCTGCGTCCTGGCTGGGAAGCCCCTGGTGTCCGGCAGTGCCCTCCGGCTGGAGGGGCAGCTAGTGGTGTACAACTACCAAGGGGGACCCTGCTACCGGTGTCTCTTCCCCAAACCCCCTCCGCCAGAGACGGTGACAAACTGTGCAGATGGGGGGGTGCTGGGTGTTGTGCCGGGCATCATGGGGTGCATTCAGGCCTTGGAAGTGTTGAAGATAGCCTCAGGAATGGGTTCCTCCTTCAATCAGTTCATGCTGATGTTCGATGCTCGGGAAGGGAAATTTCGCAACATCAAGTTAAGACCAAAGAAAGCAGACTGTGCTGTTTGTGGGGACAATCCGTCTGTCACTTGCCTTCAGGATTATGAGGCATTTTGTGGGTCTTCTGCAACAGACAAATGTAGAACTTTACATCTGCTGTCCAGTAAAGACAGGATATCTGTAGAGGAATACAAAAAACTGTTGGATGAGCAAGTTCCTCATGTATTGTTAGATGTTCGTCCCCAGGTTGAGGTGGATATCTGTCGCCTGGCACACTCTGTCCACATTCCCTTGAGTAAATTAGAGGAAAAAAATGAAGAATGTTTGGAATACTTAGAAAAACGAATCTGTGAAGAAAAGCAGAGAACTAATGGCCAAACATCTTTTCCTGTATATGTTGTTTGCAAGTTAGGAAATGACTCCCAGAAGGCTGTCAGAATTATTCAGGAGTTACCTGTTAAAGAATATGGTCCTGTATTAGCTAAGGATATTAAAGGGGGGCTCATGGCTTGGGCCAGTAAAATTGACCCAACATTTCCTCAGTACTAGAAATATAAATGGAAAAAAAAAAAAAAAGGATATTCACAGGAAATGCATGGGGTTTAAATGTTTCTCTGCAGTGTCTATATCATGTGGAGATACAACATGATATTTCTATCTTCCACGTTTATTATTTTTTTAATTATATATTTGTTGGTGTCTGTTTTTATATAAAAATATGAAATTATGTGGAAATAAATAATTTTCACTATTAAAAAACAACTGAGAAATTTTGGAATGACTGCTTAATTGTGCAAGTGATAATTGAGAATTACTTTAATTATTGCAGCCTTGAGAATGACCTAGCACAAGAGTGTAGTGTTGAAAGTTTTTACTCATTCTCCTAACGGGCCAACATAAATTGAAATAATACATGTAGTGGTTTAAACAAAACAACAACACAACAGTAACTGTTAATCTCTAGCTGCTCATTAGCACTGCAAAGCCTATCATAAGGAATTGCCAAGGAAAAGTCCACACTGACAAGACGTTCAGTCACCATCCTGCAGCTTGTAGCAGCAGCACTGTGTATTTAGGGAAGGAGTGCTCACTGCAATAACAGTCAGGGTAGAGCTACTACCAGAGTGACAGAGAAACCCAGACTAACGTCTGTAGTCAGATTTTTAGAGCCAAAGGCAGCCCTAGGATTCTGCAGTATTTCTATAGGGTGCTGTTAAGCTTTGGTGACTCCTGGCTATCTGAGGTAGGACAGCCAAAGCCGAAGGGTCTTTGAAGATATGCTTGAAGGTGACCACGAAGTGTGGCTTATGTGTTGTTCCTGTGACCACTTAATTCTTTTCATGACCTGATTTTTACAAGCCTAGTTTTTCTGGATTTGGGTAATTTTGATGACAGTGCCCACAGTCTTAAGAAATTGAGTAAGTAATGTATTTGAGTAAAACCGTTTTTTGTGTAATTTAAATATTAAATACTATGAAGGTTAGTCTGTGACTAGGGAGTTTCAGGTGTATTGAAGGTATTTCGTTGTCTTACATACCTGTCAAGAACTTCAGAAGCCAGCCATGCTCATCTGTGGGCTGGCAACAAGTGTTTTCTTCAGCTTATACAGCAAAAGTGAAGTTACGCCATAGTAATTATCTTATTAATAAAGAAGTGGGTTTCCTTAAATTTTGAAGGAGGAAAACAGCACTTGCCATGACTTTGTATTATACAAGAGTGAAAAAAAATACTACTGATGTAATAAAATAAGGTGGAAAACACCCACAGTACCTACTTTACTATGGTATGCCATGGGTTCTAGCACTAAGAATCTCTCCTGAAGGAAAATGATGAATTTATAAATACAGAGTCATATCTCTGCAACTTAGAGGACAAGGGAAGTGTTTAAGGCCATGAGTGAAAGTACGCATAGTGCTTTGTGGTGTGTGAGAGTTGTAAGACCTCTCAAGGCAGGGTGTAGAGGCTTGGTTCAGTTACAAAATCTGCATTCTGATAAGAGGCTTGAAATGCATGACCTGTTTTCTTTTTTCTGTACTTAGTGCGATGGCAAGTGAGGCTCTAATATCCAATCTTACCCAAACTTACCTGACTTGCTTCGTTTCTTGAACTCTGTCAAACATGTAGCGGCTTCTCTTTCCACCAGGAGGTATCATAGCAAAACTCTGTTTAGAAATTCTAAGGGCAGCAATAAAACTATCATTTTGTATTGCTGCCGGAGTACTGCCTAAATACTGATGCATGCGGACGTTGTGAATAAGACAAGCAGCTTTATTCAGGGAGCTTACAGTGTAGCTGGTCGAAGATGCCTTACCAGGAGGGGTAAGGTTAGGCTGCAGAGTTTTTTTCTCTGGCCCTCAGTCTTGATGTTTTGAGGCTGCTTTTAGCTTGCTTGGTCATACCTCTTTTATTTCAAAGTGGCTTACTACAGTTTGGCACAGGAATTGAACAGGAAACAGCTTCCTGTTGGATATTTAGGATAACAAAAGGTGGTTGTAGCGTTTGTTCAGAATTGCTGCATTTGAATCCCCTTGTAGGTCTGTGGGAGAGCTTTATGGTTCAGGCACAGACTTAAGTATCTAAACTTGTTTTGTCCTGGGACATGGTTGTTATTTTAAAGCAGAGTAAATCAAGCTGGTGTAGCTTTCAGGGAAGTCTAAGAAGAATTTCATACGAGACATTGACGTGTCTTGATAAGCTAAAAGCCTTATTTTGGTGGCAGGAGCTTCTTATCTCAAAACTCCAACAAATTCAGTGCTGATCTAAAACTGAATTGTATAAATAAAAATAAAACTAATAATATTGTTAGACAAATCTCTAAGGGACTATGTCCGAACCAAGTTCTCTGAGTTCATGTACTGGAATTTTAGGTGTGTGAACACCTGGCATGTTCTTACGCTATTTGCAAGCATAATTTTGAGCTGGAATTTAACTGTTCAAAACAAAACTATGCACTCGGTGCAAGCACGAGTTTATCTTTTTCTCTTTTTTAATATGAAAGCCCTAAGCTGTCGTTTGTAAAAAAAATATATCACAAAAAAATTTTTAAGGGTGTTTGCTAGGTGGCACTGCAAGTTAATAAACCAAATCATTCCCTGGTCTGTAAAGATGCAATTCAACTGTAGCAAGAGCTGAGGTGCATTTGTAGCAATACAAAGTTATACATTTCTTTTGAAAAAAGACCAATGAATTTCTTTGGAAAACAAGAACTGAACTTGCAGACCCGATGCATCAGAACAAGACCACCTGATGTGTCTGTGCCTGGAGCTCAGAAACACTCCTGTGGTAATAAAACTGGGTTGTGAGCCTTAGTGTCCCACATACTGCTGTGGGAATATATATTTGTTATGGCTGTCTTCAGTGTTTAAAAGCTAAAATAAAAAGAAAAAAGCCTACAGGTGTGTTCAGTACAAATGTACGTGAACGTACTGACAGCAAACCCACATCCTCTGCAGAAACTTCAGATCGCAAATCAACAGCTGGCTCTGCCTCTTGTAGCTCTAAAAATGCTGTAACAACTAGTGATGGAACAAGGGGATCAAAACAAACACATCTGTTTAAAGCTTCTATAACAATAAACATCTTGTAACTCAGGATTTATTTTAATACTTTGAAAAGTTTTTCGCTTTATAATCTTCAACTTGACGTGTGGGATATCTTTCAAGCTTACAATCCTTTAAATCTGATTAAACATCTGCATGATACTAGCAGTGTGGAACCTGCCAGACCGCCTGGTCCCTTGATACAAATCAGAAGATATCTTGTGAGGTTGTGGCACGTGCATCAGTTCAAATAATTGTAATTTTCGTTGAAATCAAGATGCTGGTTTGAAAACAGAAATGAAAAATGATGCATTTGGTATTTCCTACAGTAGACCATCACACTATTACAGATGACATTACTTAAATCATGTCCTGATTAATTAGGTGAGTTGTTCACGAAATTGAGTCATTCTAGCACTAGAGATTAAAGGCTTGCTTATCACTGTATTTTAGAAGGAGTTGAGTCATTACAGTGTCAGCATGAACTTTATTCGTGTTGCTTAGTTTATGCATACACCTGAGTTAATAGCATGAAGCAGAATTAAAAAGAAAAAAAAAAAGAGGAGAACAGTGGGTACTGGGATGTTCTGTTAAAATTGCCAGCTGGGTTCAGCCAACGTGTGTGTAGTCCAGGGCAGTGTTCTCAGCTGGTGGTCTGTAAAAGAGTAGTGGCTTGTAAGACATCAGAAGATGATCTTTAAAGTGACTGGGGAAAAAAGTGCACATGTTCCAGTATATTTGAATAAAATGCAGCAAGACCACTTTAGGGGAAAAAGAATCCACTGTTAAGAACCAACCCCCCCCCCCAGCAACAACTAATTTCTCCAAAGGATAATTAGGCTTTTACTAGGCATTATTATCTGTGACTATTTAGTAACTCTTGAAAATATTTTTGTTCATGTAGACTAAAGTTTATAAAGAGTTAGACGTCAGATTTTTAAACACAAAGCTAACAATTTAAAGCTACTCACATTTTTGATGTCAGACATAATTTTAAAATACAGCAAGATAACTAATAGCTGTCAATAATTTACACCTAATAATTTACATCACTAATCATTCCTACATTTACTCCTGGTTCACTGTTAATGTTCATGCTAACCAGATTCATGTATAGAAAGTTTAGTCCTAATGACATTGTTACAAAGTGTGCATTGCAAGACTGATGAAGTTCCTGGATGCTGGTTTACTGTTTTTGCAAGATTTTCACCTGAAGCTCCCCCATTAGTGCCTGCTCATGTCAGTGGAAAAATTATCTTGGAAGAGCTGTGGATCAGAATATAACAAGGATTTGCTTTTTCTTCTGGAGTAAGAGTGCGTTCAGCCCCTGCATTCCTTTTTCTATGACACTGAAAGCCTCTGCCTTTATTCCCATGTGATCACCTAATACTAATAAACGGTGGCAGCTGTTTCATGTGGGAGAAGGCAAATGGATTGACCTACACAGGTCACGTTTATCTGAGATCAGTCTGTGGAGTGCTCCTATCTGAGGGAGGAAACTAAAGAGGAATAATGTAATGTCATCTTTTCATTTACAAACCCTTTTTTGTATGGTTCAGAAAGAACAATTACTTTGTAAAACGCCTTACAGCTTGCAGCTGTCATGTAGAGACAAAGATCTTAAATAGCGTTGCTGGTTAGTAAAACAAATATGCTGAAACAAAGCTTAAAAAGGAAATTCCTCAACTTCACTTGGTTTTGCTGTAGGCAGTGGTTTTTTGAAAGCGCTGATAATGAGAAGAGCTCATCTTTCGATTACTGGTCCAAAGTAATCTGCAATTTGCCTGCGGTTTTCTGAAGTCTTTTGGTGAAAAACAGGAGAGGCTTTATTATATTATTATAATAAAATAATATAATTATTATTATATAGTTGAGATTCACTGCTGGGGCAAACAGGCTAAATCTGGGGAGTTTGTTTGCAGTTACTTGTTCAGCAATATGAAGTTTTGCTGCCTATTAGCAGATGATTTCTCCACAGTGAATGTGCTGGATGTTACCTGTCTCACAGGCATCAGAAGTGTGGATCCATTTCAGTGACTGCGAACTGAAGTGCACCAGCTGCATGCTCTGCGTTGTGGTGGCAAGCCCTCAGAGCAGTGGAGCTGTGTGCGACTTCACTGCTGAAACCAAAACATAACCAACAGATCCACATTTGCAGAGGTTGCTTATAAAGACAATTGTTGTGTGAGAATTCTCACAAATGCTGCCAAAGTGTTAGAAGGA